CACTCAGTGTCTGTTTTGGGTCCTGTTCTGTTTTATATTACTTTTCTATCTACCCACTCAGTGTCTGTTTTGGGTCCTGTTCTGTTTTATATTACTTTTCTATCTACCCACTCAGTGTCTGTTTTGGGTCCTGTTCTGTTTTATATTACTTTTCTGTCTACCCACTCAGCGTCTGTTTTTCGTTCTGTTCTGTTTTATTACTTTTCTTTCTATCATAACAGGGCTGGTCTTGTACTGTCTGTAGGTTAAAAGTAAACTTTCCTTCTTCTATCGTTCTTTCTTTGCTCTTTATGTAGCTGTTTCCTACGGCCATATCGTTTGTTTGCAATTTTCTGTTGTCTCTCTTTGTCCTCCTATGATGCCTTGTTTATCTGTTATGCTTTTATGTCTTTTCCATCTACCTGTCTGTCTATCTTTTATCTATTTTTTTATTTCGATTTGTGTTGCTTGAAAATTTTATGTGTCCGCCTTGTTCTTCCTTTTTACCAAAATGTCCTCCTATTACTTGCCAGTCCAGTTACATCTCTGTCTATTTATTCATTTATTAGTCTGTCCTTCCATCTATCCAGGCTGTTTACTGTACAACTTTAGCTTTTTAACTCCCTCGCCGTGCATGAATAAGTCCACAGGCCTAGTCAACAATGTCAAAGTGTCATGAAAGTCTTCTTTTTTTTTTTTTCGTTTCACCCAGGCCATGGTTCATGAGCTTTAAGAACTCTGTGCTGCTCCCATCACAGCCCGAGGTTTTCTCTCAATCTTTTTCATCCAGAAATGACAGTTTTCTATAAAAGGCTCCATTACAAAGAAGACTATTTGTCATATTAATAATAGTGTATCTGAATACAGAAAAGTAGGAAGACATGAAATAATGTTAAGAGGCTAGCCTAGAATAGGGAAGGTGGGAAAGTGTTTGTTTGTTGCCTTAACCCTGATCCAGGGTGAGAAAGGCAATGATGATGATGAATATCTGAATTGAACTGTTTTGTTTTTCTTTTCTGTTTCTATTAGTTTCAAAGAGATTCAGAAGTTCCACCGACAGATTTTGCGTGTGAAGGACAGAGATGAGTTCCCCATGCTTCTGGTGGCCAACAAGTCTGACCTCGACTCACAGAGAGTGGTAAGGGAAAGAACAAGGGAGGAAAATGAAGCTTTTGTGTGTGTGTGTGTGTGTGTGTCTGTGTGTGTGTCTGTGTGTGTGTGCTTCACTAGAAAGAGAACCAACTGACATCTTTTCTCTTGGTTGTTTTTAGAGTTTAGTTCACGGTGGAAATTTGTATTACTCGTATATCTCTGTTTCTTCCATTTGAAAGAAAGGATTTTATTTAATTGTAGATGTTTCACACCCCATCTACTCAATTGAGATAATTTAGGAGGCAGGCTGCTTCGACGCTGCCTGTTAGGGCCAACCCAGAATGAGAGGACTACGACGTCCCAGGAGAGAGGGATGCTTGATGAGAAGTCTTTCCAGACAGGAATCGAACTCACGTTTTCTGTGTGTGACAGGAAAGAACCTAACTGCTACTCTACAGACACCAGAAGTTTCAAACTGTCCATTTACAGCTGTGTGTGTGGTGTGTGTGTGTGGATTGAAGAAAATAAGGCGAAGGAGAACCTTTCTTTAGGTTCTGTCTCACACAGTGTTTATGGGAGGAAGCGGTGGGGATTATAGATCTAATGCCGTGGACATTAGAGAAAGGGTGTGTACAGATGATACGTATGTTTTGATGTCTGTCCTTTTTTATTTACCTACACTTTTGTACTTATTTATCAACTTGTAGCAATTTTTTTTCTCCATCCGTTTTCATTTGTTTATATTAACTCTTGTCCTACCAAGTAGTTTTGCCGTGTTTGTGAGAGAAGACCAGGTGATCTCTTGTACATGTACATACATTTCATGTCAGTAAGCACATAGATAGGAGATGACTGTCCATGTTATCAGCACAAGAGAACCTTGATGGCCACAGTTTAGATATTGCACGCACTCAAGGTGTAGCACCAATGTGGAATACTTTCTGCCTGGTACTCATGCCTTGACTTTTGGTCCCCCTCCCCCCGGGCAGTGCCACTGACTGTAGTGTCTTTAGGCCATTCCCAAAAGGGGGACATTTCTCGTTCATGCACAGTAGAATTGTAAATGGGCTGATTCATGTCACGCTCATAACTATGCCTGATCTACAACAGGGAACTGCTGCTTTTTCTTTCCTCATCCTTACTATTGTCATTTTCCTCTACTTCTTTTGTATGTTTGTTACTCTCTTGTGACCTGCTGTTTCCGGGGTGCCTTGATAGTCAAAGCAGACCTTGTGCTGTTGAAGCTAGAGAGGTGAGCAGAATAAGTCTGATTCCCTGTAAAGACTTCTCTGTTGACACCCACCCCTTGGCGCTCATATGACCTTATGCAGTTGCGAGCGCCGTAAAACCCTCTACTATAAAAAAATAAAATAAAATAAAACTTTTGAGGCTTTGTAAATTCTTCATGTTGGAGTTGAAAACTTAACTTATCATTTCTACTGCAGAAAGTAAAAAGACTGCTTAGCTCCCTTTGACTCTGCTCTGATGGGTTGGCAGAAAAATATGGTATAGTTTGCTTTTCTTGGGACAACGGGGAAAATATCTTATAATCTCAGTATTGTGACAACGGTCATGTCTCTAAATGTCTACGTCAGCATTGTGACAGTGGCAACATGTCTCCCAACCTAACTTAATAATAGTCGTATCAAGGTTCTATGATCTGAAATGTCTAGTCCAGTGGTTTAAGAGAGATCAAATCCTTTTATTCATTCAAATGTAGGTTAAAGTCATTTCATTTTTTATATTAATGAGATAAACATTTAGAGAGAGATTTTCCTTTGGTCAGAATGCAATGCACTGGTTATATATTATTACTGTTGTATTGTAAAGTGCTTAGAGCCTGTGTACTTTAATCGGGGTTGAGCACTAAATAAATGCCATATATATTATTAGTAGTAGCAGTGGTAGTTCTAGTAGCAGTAGTATTTTTATTCGTATCGTTATCATTATTATTATATGTCTCCCAACTTAACTCAGTATTTAAGAATAGATCCTTATTTGTATATGACTCTCAAACATCTCTGACACTACAGAATGTTACCTCTAACAATTGGAAGGAGTGTTGAAGTCCATTCTCAGGGCAGGGCCCAACCTACGGTTGTGATAGATGAAAAAATTGCTTCTTGATGATCTGCCAGTCCATGTGTCTGGGTTGTAATCAAAGTGAAAATGTCGGGAGAAACTCTTGAAAGACGAGTGAATGCCGTTTCTTTGTTTTTCTCCCTCCTCCAGGTTTCAACAGAAGAAGGGCAGGAGTTGGCGAACAAACTGAAGATCAAATACATCGAGGCTAGTGCCAAACACCGGTTAAACGTGGATCAGGCCTTTCATGAGCTGGTCAGAATTGTCAGGTATGATTTGTGGGCTTTGTGATGGGGGGGGGGGGGGGGGACTGCTATTGTTCTTGCTGTATCTGTTTATATTTACAGTTTTTATGTACGTCTGTTTTTATTCCTCTACGCATGTTGCTGCTTTTAAGCACAAGGGGGTTATCCTCAAAAATGCTGTTTTGAGAAAATCGAAGGTAAAGTTTTGGCCCATTGTTCAGTTTCTTTTAAAGACAAGGAAAGTTTTCTCTATAACCAAACAAATATACACACCAATGAAACCAAACTTCTCCTATAGGTAGGGCAATATCCACTTTTGGTGTAGGTCAAGATTTCTGGAAACCCCCGAAATCTGGGTTAGCCCGCTTGTCCTATAGATCTATACTGATTTGTCAGCTTGAAGTAATTTTTTTCCATCTGTTGTCATTTATATATTAACCCTTCACCTACCAAATAATTTCACCCAAAGCGGTTTCCCGTGCCCAAGTAAATTTCGATATTTCCAAGGCAACATTATATGCTGGGGCATACCAGTGAAAAATAGCATTTTTGTTGGTTTTTTATGACGTTCCTCTCAGTCTGCAGCTTGTAAGTTTCTTGTGGGAAGTTGGCGGGTGCTCTGGTGTGGATTGCTCCTTGTTTCTTATCAAACATCTATCGTCCTTATCTCTCATCCTTTTTTTGTATTTGCTCCTCTCTTGTGACACCTCTGTTCTTCGGCATTTATATGACCTTAGTGTATTGCAAGTGCTGTAAAATTTTACTGCAACTAAAATATCAGTTTCTTGTCTCTAATCTCTTTTCACTGTTTATGTAAGTTGACCAAGACCATGTGGGGGAACTGCTGCTTTTTCTTTCCTAATCCTTACTATCATCATTTTTCCCTCTACTTCTTTTGTATGTTTGTCACACTCTTGTGACCCGCTATTTCCGGGGTGCCTCGATAGTCGAAGCAGACTTTGTGCTTTTGAGGCTAGAGCGGTGAGCAGAGTAAGCCTGATTCCCCTTTTGGACTTTTCTGTTGACATCCATCCCTTGGGGCTCATTTGACCATATGCAGTTGTGAGCGCCGTAAAACCTAACTGTAACTAAACTAAACTTTGTCCTCATTAGGGGGTGTTGGAGGGCGCCACTGGTAGGCCCTACTTCCTTCGTTACTTTCCCTCTGTTGTTTCTGTCTGTCTTACTTTTTTCCAGCACTAAATGACCAAAATTGTTTCCATGTGCTTCTCTTTACTCAAACAAACAGATGCTATCAATCAAACTATTTAACTGACTTACACTCAAATGAGGACTAAAATCGTTTGGCTCGAGTGTTAGATTATACTCAATATACTAGAGTGTTCTCCCTTTTCTTTCCCTTCAAAGAACAACAGTGGATGGTTGGCGGGTGCTCTGGTGTGGTTTGCTCCTTCTTTCCTATCAAACAGCTATCATCCTTCTCTCTCCTCCTTCTTTTTTATGTTTGTTATTCTCTTGTAACACCTCTAATCTTCAGCTCTTATATGACCTTATGGTGTTGTGAATGCTGTAGTTGTGAATGCTGTAAAACACTTACTTTAAAAGAAAAAGAAAAAAAAAGAGCAACACTATGATCAAATGTAATGGTTGTTTGTAGAGGGAATTGTTTCAGCCACGGGAAGCCCCATGTGTGGGTGGCTGGGGACATATTATGAGAGGCATTGTGGGGAAATCCGACTCTCATCAAAAGAATGAAATAACAGAAACTTGCGTTATTCTGACCGTTTTGCAATTTTTCTCTGAACTTTTTTTTTCAGCACGTTTTATGTCCATTGAAAAACACGTTCCAATGTGGACTTTGCTGAAAAGCGTTGATCAAAGATACAAAAAATGTAAATTTGCTGTTACAATGGACACTTATGTGCCCTTAATGTGTTGTAAGTGCCGTAAAACTGTTACTTAAACATGACAGACTGAATGGGAGCGGCCCACCTCCAATATGGTCTGAATTGTATAGATGATGATGGCAGAATACATCTGCAGTCATAAAATCTTTTCTGTACCGTTGTTGCTGTATATTTGTGTGTTGTTGTGCTAGTGACAAGATTTTTCCCATGAATGATTTTTAAAATGTCTTTTTTTGTTTTGTTTGGTTTTTTCCAGAAAGTTTCAGGAAGAGGAGAGACCCCCCGTGAAGCCAAACAACCGCAAACGCAAGAAATGCAAGATCCTGTGATAAGCACGTGGCCCATGTCGTCTGCTCTGTTTATGTGACTGGTACCCTGAGCTCTCTCTCTCTTTATTTTTTTTCTCTCTCTCTCTCTCTCTCTCTCTCTCTCTCTCTCTCTCTCTCTCTCTCTTGCTCTCTCTTGCTCTCTGTCTCTATCTCTCTCTCTGTCATTTATCTCTCTTTCTCTTCTCTCCCTGTCTACGAAACACTCTGACTCCCAAAGGACCCGTCACTATTTTAGACAAAGTCTTTATCTGTTTGACAGCTTGAACCACGTGTGACTGAAATATATATAAGCCGTTTGCCCACCTGGTGAAAGGAAACCTTATTGGAGATATTCAAGAGATTTTTGTTAGTTAAAGCTACCACTACGTGAAGTATAGTCACGGCGTATGTCACTTGTGTGATGTCGCTCGTGTAAAATCACTTGTGTGACATTGCTATAGCATTACTGTTTCCACCTTCTTTTTTGGGGGCTAAAATGTAACAAAGGATCTTTCTCAATTTGGCTTGAATGTCCTGCCTGAGGTGTCAAAAAGTACAGCTTCTCCTTTTTTCCCTGTCCTTTGCAGAAGCGCTACGAATCACTCCTTCTGACTTATATTTGTCTGAAAGGATGACCTTTGACATTGCCTGATTGTACAAGCTTGTGAGAGTTATGGATATCTGAACTGTATTCTCTCTCTGGCGTAAAGCGACCACACACACGCACATAAACACGAACCTTGTCTGGAATCTGGGCCCTGAGTCTCAATGGCCATAGAAAATTAGTATTGATGAGGCCGGCGTGGGTTTTAGGCTGCGCCAACTATTTTTTCCATCAGCCTGGATAAGAGTGGAGTGATGAGGTAAAAAAGTTCTTTTTTTGTGTTGTTCCAAATGCATATTTGACTTGAAATTAATTACTTAATTTACTTTTTCATGCTCTGTTGCTGTTAAGCGTCAAGGGGAGATGCAGTTTTCTATGGTAGGCCAGCTCCGCAGCTCTTGAAATTCATTATCAGCTTCAAATTCTCTAGGATTGAATAACAAACACCATGCGGGTTTGATTTTAAATAAAAATTCGGCATGAAAAAAAAGCTCTTAATGCTGTGCCGACTGTAAATTTACCAGGGCCAAGACATGCTGATTGGCTGGGAACTGCTGGCTTGTGCGTGTGTGGCCCGCTTTACTTGTGCATGTCAAAGGTTAAAAAGGGAGTGTATTAAATGGATGACATCATAGCGGCTCAGGATGAGCTGCCCTTGTTTGGAAACAGTGCTTTGGTTCATTTATTTATGTTACCCGCAGATGAGCTGCCCTGGTTTGGAAATAGAGCTTTGGTTCGTGTTAGCCCCAGGGGTAAATAAGAATTGTTTGAGGGAGGGGGAGGGATATTTGAGTTTCCTGAGTGTGATTGTAGGGCTTTAGGGTTTGCTTGTTATCATGGCTTTTATGCACACTTGTATTGACCTGAGTTATGTACGGAGCAGTCGCCTCCTGTGTGGGAAGTTTGAGTCGTTGAAATTGTCGTCGACTGTCTGCTTTTTGTGTTCTTGATGATAGATATTGTGTGTGTGTCCGGTGTATGTGAGTTGAGAGGGGTTGCTGTTATTGTTAAATGTTCGTGTCGGGCACAGAATGTGGATGGTTTTGGTTCTGTTTGTGTTAAGATTTCTGTCTTGTGTCAAAAGATCTTCGTTCTTGTGAGACTTTGTTGTCGATGGTACATAATAAGGAAGGTACCCGTGACTTGCCTCATTTGCTTGTCTCGTTTTGTAAAGGTATCTTGTTCCCACACTCCCCCACTCCCCATCCCCCTTCTCCCACTCCACACACCCCGC